TCGCCAACCATTCATGCAATTTTATTTATTTATTTTTTTTTATTAATAATCGATACTTGGCGTCAAGAATCGATGCAGTAGATCACGAAAATTAGAATCACGATTCATCATCATGACGATTATTTTGCACACCCCTAATACCAGCGGTGTGCTATCAGTAGGAATCCCATCCAACAGCAGCCTCTGACCTGGTCGCCTCCTTGCGATTTGCCGCGGCAGCTGGAAAGGGGTTTTCATGTACGTAATCCAAACTGCAGGTGCCAGGATAATAAAAATTAACAAGTTTTGCCAGCAGATTGCAAGTTAATTTAGGCATTAATAAACTGTTTCAGAGGAGTGATCGTAGTGATCTGTATCATCAGCAATGTGCCTGTGTCCCTGCCAGCTCCCAGATCAGCTTGTCTGATTGGTTGATGTGGTACGTTGATCAGCAGAAGCACCATTTTTCCAACTCCAGCAGCTGCTCCATTTGCAGTATGTCAGAAGCTCATGACGCACTGCTCCTGCTGCTTTAAACGTGCTGCGAGGCCCTTTACTGCACCTTGATGCCCGTCAACCAGAAATAACGCCAACTTTCCTGAAACAGGTTATTAAGGCCTAAATTAACTTAAAATGTTGAAACCTGCTGGCAAACTTTATTCGCTTTTATTATTCTGGTGTGAGCATTTTTTACCACATACATGAAAAAAGGCTAGCATCTACTTCCTGATGAAACCTGGCCTGAGGCAGCTGCTGCTGGGGTTTCCCAGTGACAGTGCACCACCGCTATGTGGGGGTCTGAGCTGCGTGAACTGCAAATTAATACTTTAATACATGATTGTAATCTTGATGAACTGACTGCGCAGACAATGTCTTGAGGTGGACTTTCTCACATAAAAATACATTAAACTACATTTTACCAGCTTATAACAGCAAATATAGCAAAGCCGCTCTCTGTCATTTAACAGAGGATCATCAAATGCATCTGGGCACAATTTACTGGATGAGGCTTCAGGAGCAGCAAAGATGCTCTTGAGGCGCGTCTGATCTTAATATATACAAGCATTAAAAACAAAGCAGCAGGCGCTTTTTTGCTGCTCAAAGCGTGTCTGGTGTGATCGTAGCATTAGGAAATGAGACGTATTGGAATACAATTCATCAGAGATTCGAGTGTATTTCATTGTAATTGTTGAAGATCTTAACAGATTTTAAAAGCAAACTTCAGCCTGTTCTATTCATCCTGGACTGAGCTTTGCCCCTTCTTTCCCTGCAGTGAAGCTCTGCCCTTCTTTCTCCTGCTCATCGACCTTTCCAAAGCATGCACGTTGGCTAAATTTGCCCTCAGCTCCAACTCTCAGGTAGTGCTTTAAATCTGTTGCTGTTTCTGAATGCTAACTTCATTTATTACAGCTAACGTTAATTTAGCTATAAAAATCCGGTCTTATATGTTTTTGTTTTGTTTTTTTTCTGCTTAGGAGGAGGTGAGGGAGAACATATCTAAAGGCATGGCTATCCTAGGCCCCACATTCACCCTGGATGCACTTGTTGAATGTCTGGTTATAGGAGTTGGCACCATGTCAGGTAAGATTTTTTTGTTTTTTATTCTTACCTAAAAAGCTGTTTCCTTTTTGAACTATTAAACCCTTTTTTTCTTATCTTTTTTTATTTTTTTCCAGGCGTTCCTCAGTTGGAGATCATGTGCTGTTTCGGCTGCATGTCTGTTCTGGCCAACTACTTTGTCTTTATGACCTTCTTCCCAGCGTGTGTCTCTCTAGTGCTGGAGGTGAGCGTCTACCTAAAGGTTCCTTCAGAAATAAATGTTCATCTAACAGTGAGAATGAGAGAAATCGTCTAACTGTTCCTCCTTCTGCTTTAAAGCTATCCAGGGAGAGTCGTGAAGGCCGGCCCATCTGGCAGATGAGCCACCTGGCTCATGTTCTGGCTGAGGAAGAAGATAACAAGCCCAATCCTGTCACCCAAAGGGTTAAAATCATTATGGTGAGAACTAGTGATGGGGTGATGAGGCCTCGTGAAGCTTTTTGACATATTGCTAAGCTGTGTTGCAGAATACTGACACCTGCTGGACCTTTAACAACACTACAGGCAGTTTGTTTGTCCGACTAAACTAAATTGATCTGATGACCTAGAACATTAATATAATTAAAGTTGTTGTAGTATTTCATATCTACGTTTAAACTGAAAATATTTTTGATGTTATTAGATGCAGCCAATAATTAATGTGAACCTGTGAATGAGGATGGTTGTTGACTAGGATTAAAAATATATATTTAAAATAATAATTACAGAAAACGATAAACTAAGAGTCAATTTGAAATAACTTAAGTTCAGATGATTTGAGAGATAACTTAGAGGAACAGGATGACGCAATGAGGACATTAAAACAAATATAAAATCAAAATGATCCCAAACGGCTAAAACCTTGAGTCTGCTCCGTAATTTTTAATCATTTTGATGATGAACTGCAAAAGATCAGAGATTTTTTTTTTTTTTTTTTTTTTTCTTAGCAGATGCACCTTCCTTTAAGATAATTTTATAAACACATTGTATCCCGTCAGTCAGTTAGAAAAAGCGCCGTATCGGTCACCTGTTGTCTAAAAGCGATCCACTGCTTTCAGTCCTGGTACCAAAGGAAAAACTATTTCAGACTGTGACTGTGTCATTTCTGTGTCATTTCTCTACATCCAGTTCTGCCTAAAATTAGGTTTTGTTACTTTCTCTACAAACTTTGCAGTCTTATCGTGTCCATTTTACGTTGCATCTTTCAGTCTCTTGGTTTGGCCTTGGTCCACGGCCTCACTCGCTTAACAGCCGAGCACGCAGCTCACAATCGTACAGTAGAGGGGCCGATGGAGAGGCTGGAATCAGCCGGTACCGTGTGGCCTCAGAAAGTCACGAGGTAAAAAAACAACAAAACAAAAAAACGAACCGAATGTTGATTTATGAGGTATTTATTCATATGTCTGACATATGCAGTGATGTCCGCTTTGTCTCCTCCTACCAGCGTGGAACTGGAGCACGTGATAACCCTCAGTCTGGCACTTCTTCTGGCTGTTAAATACGTCTTCTTCGAGCAAGCGGACACAGAGTCCTCCCTGTCTCTCAGGAGTCCAATCAACGCCGCCTCCCAGATCCAGAAACCCCGCGCTGCAGAGGACTGCTGCAGGAGGGACCAGTCGGCTCCCAAACCCCAGAGAAGCTCAACCGACGTCTTAGCAACCAGTGCTTGTTCCTCAGGTGGGTTTTTTTTTTTTTTCTGTTACTTTGTTGTAGTGCTGAACACCCAAACCTACTTCTAGAATTTATGTGATTTTAATTTTTTCTGATTTTCGTTTGTTTTTATTCATTTCCAACATCTGAGGCGACTCTGGGAATGAAAGATGCCAACAGGCTGCTGTTTGGTATTAAATCATAACATATAAAATACTAAAATACTTGAATGAGGAATTTAAGGTTTTTGAATTGGAATTATATTTTGTTTTATACCTAAATTAAAGTGCTTATTAATAACTATGTACACATAGAATCAGTGCATCTGTAGAAAACTTGGGAGATATGAAGGTTAAAGATATTTTTGTTTAAAATCTGCTCTAGATGTAAGTTGTAGGTGGCGTAGCTTTAGGATGAGACGGGTGAGGCGTACCTAGTACGGCTGGGCAAAATATATATATATATATTTGTAAAAAAAAAAAAAAAGATTACAAAAGAAATGGACGATAAATTGACGGTTTATATAAAGATGGCTTTCGTTGTGATATAACTCTACCTTTATGAATGCCAGTAGGTTCTTTTTCAGCCCTTTTAGACAGAATCATGTTTATCTACAGCTGTTTGTTAGAAAATGTTTAGATTTATAGGTAGCCTGACTGGTCAGACTAATTTACACCATGTTGGTCTGGAAAGGAGCCGGTAAAGCCTGATTCACTTAGAGTCAGAGGAAGTGGGTTAGAACTAGAGCTGAAACAATTAATTGGAATAATC